TCTGCATCTACAGGTTAACATTCATACTATAGCATGCCAGTCTTGCATCAGTAACAGCAGGCCCATCTTTATTCTATGGCAAACTGTCAACAGTTTCATCCTCCAGGCTGCAAATGGGGTGTAGAAAACAACTTGCCTAACTTCTCAATTTATTTATTTATTTTGTGAGAGCATTTTCTAAGATGCCTGAACTGATTGTCCTTCACCAAAGAGAGTCATTTCATTTATTACCATTAACAGAGAAAAGAGAAGGAGGACCAAACTCATGTGGACATGAGGACTGGAAGACCTCTGTACAAATGCAAGAGAACATACTTGACCTGCAAACAGAAGTTATTTTCATATACCCAGATGCAAAAAATTAAAACTTTTACTTTTTTTTTCCTTTTCCTTTGGCATAAAAGAGTTTATGCCAGATGCAACAAGCGTTCCCAAAATCAAAGAATTCATTCTACAGTGTAACAAGTATGTTCTTCCTTGTAAGAAATGGCGGCCTGTAACAAATAAAGGCATTCTGGCTTGCCCCAGAGCTTCAGTAGACCAGCATCCTTTTTGAGCCGTAACCCCCAACTCCTTGCTTTCATCATTTATAAAAATTAGCTTGGCTGATTTGTAGCAACCTCCACATGATAAGATGCCTTCATGGTTCATACAGCACTGTATGTATAACATGCACTGTGAGATAGGTTAGGTCTTGGGGAAGTCTCATTTCAAAGACATTCACAGATAAAATAGAAACATTAAAAAAATACAAGAACACTCAAGATATTGTTGTGCTGAAGATTAACAGTTTTAGAGATTACACAAAAGGTGGCTGAAAAACAGGAAAGAGCAAAGGAGTAAGAGTAAGGAAAGTAAGAAAAAAAAGGAGTAAGACAAAAAGACAAAGTAATAAGTAAAAGGGGTAAGAAAAGGAGCAAGATAAAAAGGGTCAAGGAGTAAGAAAGGACAAAAAGAATCTTAAAAAAGCAGAAATATTTAAACTCTCCCATTAGTTAATATGAAAACATGCCCTCAGTTTTCAAGGGTTATTAAATTTATTGTTCTCCTACTGGTTGGCCTTCAATACAATTGCCTGTAGCAGTCAAAGGTTAATGCAAGCATTTCAAGAAGTACACAAGATTGCCAGTTTCATCTGGATATCAGTTTATAAAGGAAAAAAATCTAAGGAACAGCTCCAGGCTCTCAAGACGCTGCACTTAGCACATAGCAAGTTTATTATGAGTATTTCATTAACTAAGTTCTTAAAGAGAAGTTTACCTGCCATCTCAGCCACATAGGACTGACTGACTCTCTCAGGAAGGAAAGCCAAACAGACTTTTTTGATATAAGGAGAACGTCCCCAAAAATAAGTCTAAGCTATGCCCACACAAGAATAATGTTTAAATAAATATTTAATCATTTCTGACTTCGCTGATTTCATCATCAGAGAAGGAAAAGTCAGCCATTGCACACAGCTCTCACCTCAATATGGTAAACCCACAACACAAGTCTCTAGAAAGAGCATCCCCAGAGATTTTGTTGACTGGTCAGTGAGCCTCTCTTGAAAGCCTACAGCCATACGTGCCTCACGTGAAAACAACAAAAAGGCTGATTCTAGTTTCTGACTCCAAATACTTTCTGACTGGTTGCACCAATATTGAAGAGGGATGAGAGAGCAGAAAAGGCAGGCTTCTTGACCTAGCTTACCCTTCGCAACACTGCACAAAGTAAGAAAGGGCAGACCTTATAAACTAGTGTTCAAAAAAAAAAAAAAAAAAAACTTGAGTCATGGGGTGTACCCACTACAATCTCCCAATTTTATATTAAAAAGATCAGGTAGGCAAGCACTGTGCTAAAGTTAAAACATGAACTTATACTTGGCAATGCCGCAGGGCTTATTTTCTCAGTAGCCGTCCGTATTTTAGTGAGCCTGAACACCAAGCACGACCCCAGCCTGAAGTACGCGCCTGCGATGCAATCTCTTGCAGGCGAATAAAGGCAATGTCCATTAAAGAGCCATAAACGTTACTCCTGAATACCACACGGCTGGGGTGCAGAACGGCTCATGCCCAAGGTTACCGTTTAGCTCATTCAAGCATACCCTATGTTAATGCATTTAGGAAAAAAACCGCGACCGGGGTCATGACTTTAGCAACCTAATAGCAACCAAATGAGCGGGGCTGCAGCACCCTTTAGCAGAGCCGCGCTGCTTTATCGCCCTTTAATAGCCCGCCGCCGGCC